ACCTATATTCAATAAAAATAGTAAAAAAAAATTAATCATAAATATTATTGTTTGAAATATTATTTTTTAAATTAAAAAATTTTAAAAAATAAGTATACAATATTGGGCAAAAATTGTCGAATAACGGTAATTTGGCAAATAGGCACGTGCCGCTTTGCGGCATGTTAGCCAATCATTTGCCAAATTACCGTATTCGACAATTTGCCCAATATTGGTGTTATCCGGCAATTTATGATTATGATTGGTAAGGAGTCGCTCGCTGTATTTTAATTTTGAATATTGGAATAAACATAATTACATAGTAACACATGAAAAAAAAATAACGACGAAATTTTTTCATGATCATATGAGTTTGCCGGATAACAATATTTTATTAACAAAGGTACAATTTATCTCACTCATTACAAATTACTCTAACCTATAAGGCAAAAAGTACACCCTGTTACTAACTTCTAGATTATTTGTCTGTTTTTTGGATTATTTTTACTATATATAAAGTAAAAAATATAGTTTTCGAATATCAATTTAGTTTTATTTGACAATTTGTTTTTATGGAAAACAATTCGTTTAAAGTCAGATAATATATGCAGAGTATATGTAATGATACATTTAGTGATTAACCAATCAGAATTAAAGCCTGTTCTGTTGTCACAGCTAACTAATATCAGAAAATCACATAAACAGAAAATCGATCCTGTGTCCTGAAATATTAGATCCAGTCAATAGGAATTCTGATACAGATCTTTCTGATAAGTTGATGTAGGTATATTCTCCAAAGATAGATTAATAGGGCATCCAAATTCAGCAGATTGGCTCGAATTTAGATCAGAATAAGCTAGAGCTTGACTAGCATTAAGCAATAATACTGGCTAACCATACTAGTACTATACTATAACAAAATTAGTAGCTAAGCAATTTTACTTAATATATAGAGTGTTCCAAAAGTTCCTATACACGGTCCCTAAAAATATATCTAAAAAGAGAGTTACTTTTTATTATTCTTTTTTTATTATTTATTTATTTATTAATTAATATTATATTTTTTATTATTCTAAAATGCAATTATCATTTATTGTTTTTAGAATAATACAATATGCATATAAAATTTTTATATTAAGTGTTCAAAATATCTGCCATTAACATTAACACAGTATGCAGTTGTTCTGAAGTTATAGTTTGACTTTTATTAATAATTCGTTGTTTTAAATCCTCTACACTATTAGAAGGTATTCTAAAAACTTTAGTTTTAAGATGCCCTTATAAAAAAAAATTAGGTGGAGTGAGATCTGGTGATCGAGAAGGCTATTTATATAGTCTACTACAGCCTATCTACCAATTAGGAAATTTTTTATTTAGATAATTACAAACATCAATACTATAATGAGATGGTGCACCATCCTGTTGAAAGAAAATATTATTTCTAGAAAACAAATTATCCAATTCAGAAATAATTTTTCTATATAACATTTCTAAGTATTTGGCTCCATTCAAATTTCCTTCAATAAAAAATGGTTTGATAATAAAATTATCAATTATACCAGCCCAAACATTAATTTTAATAGATATTGTGAATTACCAATTCTTATAACATGCATATTTTCTTGACTTCAATACCAACAATTATGTTGATTTACTTCACTATTTAAAAAAAAGCAGCTTTATCAGAAAACCAAATATGAGAAAGAAATATTTTATCATTTGCTATAAGTGTTGTAAATGTATTACAAAATTCGAATTGTCAAGTAGTATCTTTATTTTGAAATTCTTGATGTATTTGATATTTATAAGAATAAAATTTATTGATGTTCAAAATTCTATTAATACTTGTATGAGATATTTTAAATTTTTTTGAAAGTTCACATACTGATTGTTGTGGGTTTTCTCGAAGAGAATTAGCAATAATATCTTGATGAGTGCTACTAGTTGCACTTTTTGAATAATCAGATTAATAAGCATCTGCTATATTACCAGTTTTCATAAATTTATTTATAAGATTTCATATAGTCATTAGACTAGGTTTTGACTTGTTAGGGTACTTTAAATGAAAAACATCTGCAGTTTTTTGAAAAGAATTTTCTTTAGCATAAATTATTACAAGTTCAATTCGTTCGTTAAAACTATATTTGTACATTCGTTCTTTAAAACTATACTTGTACATAATACTTTATTAAATAAAAATTTTTCTATTTATAATATTAGAATTGATTAATATCTTAATGTAGATTAAGTATAATGTACGTAAGTGATGAATCATTGGGTGTGATAAATAAGGAAGTATAATACAAAATCAATTAATATGGTGCCGGAAGCCAAAAATCGACAATCACATGAAATGTTTCAATTTTCGTGTGATTACAATTAACCAATGAAATTAATGTATTTCGACATTCTTACACATACTGTGCCAAAAGCATGGCATTTTTTTAAAATGCTAAAACTTTTTAAAGACAATCTTTTTCAAAAAAACTGACTAATAACTTTATACACAGAAGTGAGCTCTACAAAGTTATCGGTTGAATTTTTTAAAAAACTCTTCTATAGAAAATTATATCTGTTCGAAAAAAATCCTCAATCTTTAAATCGGTATAACTCTTTATAGAATAACCCTTTTAAAAAAATTAACTGATAACTTTGTAGAGCTCACTTCTGTGTATAAAGTTATCGGTCAGTTTTTTTGAAAAAGATTGTCTTTAAAAAGTTTTAGCGTTTTAAAAAAATGCCATGCTTTTGGCACAGTATGTGTAAGAATGTCGAAATACATTAATTTCATTGGTCAATTGTAATCACGCGAAAATTGAAACATTTCACGTGATTGTCGATTTTTGGCTTCCGGCACCATATATATTTATTTTCTATTCATTCATCACAATCAATGATTCATCACGCCCATATGCCGCAATAACGTCAATGTTGCCTATTAATAATCATGATCACTAGATGGATCACTTAAAAAAAGAGACCGTGTATAGGAACTTTTGGGTCACCCTGTATAGGCTACCAGTTTATTAGGAGAATTTAGAAAAGTTTAACAAATCCGGCCCATTCCGACCCTAAATTCGGGCCGATCTGCTGAATTTTGGTTGCCCTACTAATCTATTCATTCTCCAGTAAACGTATTATAAGCTAAAATTTAAATTTCACACACCCTTAGATAAAATGCTCACTTTAGTGTTTAATATACAAAAAAACCTTATTTATAAACAAGGGCAATAATAGTCAATTGATTTATGTAAAGATGGAAAGTCTTTTTATTCTGGTAAACGAGATTGATCCAGGGTTTATGGAACGATTTTAGATTTTATACAATACATAATTATATACAAACAGTGTAACAATAATGCCTTTTATGTTCAATGCTAAAAGATTCAAATCATAAAATATACATGGCATACGAATTAAATGTTTTAACAATAATTCATTCTTACTATCAATGATAGTTGCACTGTTCTACCATTACTCAGAATCTTGGTTAGGTTCAGTGGAAGCACCGTCATCAGTTTCCTCCTATCCAAATTATACATTGTATAAGCCTTAATTTGTTACACCAATAAATTTGAATCTACTAAGTAGATATGGAATCATGGACAAATACCTCTATTTGACGTTTTGCGCGAATTATACGACGACCAGTAGGATTAAATATGCCCCTGGAAGCACGAGCTTTACGACCCTCTTTAATGTCATCAGAAATAATATTACCAACGTCCATCGAATTCAGTTCTGCCTCAAGTTCTCGTCGTTCACGAATCTTCTTACATTTTTCTAGAGTTGGTCGACCTAAGATAAAAACATATGAAATGTTAATTTGAGAAAATATATGTTGTACCCGGAATTTTTCCGGACAGTCCCGGATGAGAATTTTTCAAATTATACCACCAAAAGTAAAATTTTTATATTCTAAACCTAAACCAAAACCAAAATTCTAATTCTGCAAAATTCTCGTCCGGGGCAGCCCGATTCTGAATCGGGACAATTCCAATCTGGGGTACCACATATGGTTCTACCCAAAATCCCTAAAGACAGATTCTCGAAAAAAGAGCATAATACCGACAAAGTTAGCCAGCATTAGTTATAATGCTGGCTAATTTAGTCGGTATTATGCTCTTTTTTCGAGAATCTGTCTTTAGGGATTTCAGCGACATATATATTATCAAGAAAACCTTTAATTCCTAAATCACTGAGAATTTTATTTAATCTATTGATTTGACTTGAGATAGAGTCACAATCAGCTAACTCTCTCGACCTATAATTTAATATCAGAAAATATTAATTTTATGCCATCGAACAGATGAATGTAAACTTAAAACATACCAGACTTTACGTACTCCACATTTTACAATAAACGCTTTCAGTTCTTTGATAGTTGCTTCCGCTTTCAGTTCTTTGATGGTTGCTTCATCATCATCATTATTGGACTAAAACCAAAACAGTCACATATCAATTGCATGAAAAATAATAGAAAATATTATTATTTAATTATTACCGAAACAGTTGGCGCGCTTTTTCCTTTTTTTGTTTTGCGCTTCTTTGGTGGATCACCCTCAGGCTCGCTGTGACTATCTCCGTTATTAAAACTTGCGCGTTTAGTTGTAGCGGATTTTTCCTTTCTCTTTCTTTTTGACTATTTCATGCTCAGTGTCAGATATCTCCGCGTCATTAGATCGTTTTGATTCACTGCTAATATCATTTTCGCTATCTTCTTCCATACTGCTATTTGCAAGTTTGTCATTTCTAAACTCTTTTGTCCGGGATTTATTTAATCCTTGGTCCGATTCTTGTGCCACTTTGTTCTCAAGAGCCATTACTGATCCGCCATCTTCGACAATGTTATCATCTTTAGAGTCTTCTAAATAAATAGTCTTTTAGATTGCTTTGTTTATTTCTTCGAGATTTCGTCAAGCCAACAGTAAATCCGAGAGTAAAGACACCCAAACATCAGTATCAGAAAAGAATTTTATGAATTTTTTTTGTATAACTTTTAATTATGCAGCACTACATAGCACTATCAGGAAAAATTAAAAAAGAAAAATAATAATTGTCGTCTTCAGACACAAAAAAATTATGAATCCTCTAAATTAACCTTATCATCCTTTTTTATTGTCTCGATTTTTCGCGCCCTATTATCGCTCGTTTCATTGTCATTAAACTGCATGAAATTCAGTCCTTTCTCTTCCATTCTGAACTCAATGCCCTTTATTTTATCAGTATAGTATATTTCAAATCAGATGTTATTGATATTGATTCTTAAGTATCGAAGAATTCGGGTTTCATCCACTAATTGATCAAAATTTCCCCACTATTAAAGCCTTCTTTAGATATTTTAGCACTATATAAACTCTATCTTGAATTTTTAATAACACAGATAATTTTTTTCAGATAGGGTGTCATACTCTTAGATTTGCTGTTAGCTGGACGCTTTTGAGGAACCAAATTTTGCCGATTTTTTTTAAACACTGGTTCAAAATCTTTTTCGATTGAATTGCTGAACTTTTCTTACCAGCTCTTCTAGATTTTGGTCTTGATGAATATGCGACAGATTCGTCCTCTGATTTCTGTAATAATGATTACAGAAAATCGGTCGGCCGTCATAATATCATAAGGAATAAATACACTCGTTCTACTCACCGATTTCTGGATCGCCTCCGTCACAAACTCATGTATAAGGTCCTTCCAAGGTTGCTTATCTAGAAATTTAGCAGTTAATCCGAGTTTAACTTCGGCATCCCTTCTTACTTGTTTAATCGTTATTGTCCTTTATTTATTATAAATAATTGTCATTTTAATTCATAACCCTGCGTTCTATTAACATATACAAAGGGAATTCCTCAACTAACTCTAAATCTGCTGAGTGCACAATGGTTTGACAAGTTTTCTTTAGCATAATTTCGTCAAGCTCGACATCAGTAATTCGCTTATTCCGTGTTGCCATTTCTCAATATACTGTATGTGTCTTTTTTGGACCTTTGTCAACTTACTATAAGATATCGTTTAAGTGATAATAATGATATACTATGAAAAATTACCGTAATTAAATGAAGCCAAGTTCGTAAAAAAAAGTTAAGTCTTTTTTATATAATAGGAAACAATGTGTCAAATCGAAATAGCATTGCCCAATGATATAACAGAATCTGTGTTTCACATTTGAATATCTGGAACAAAACAAGTATATAAATTTGTCGATCCAACGCGAAAAATTAACTTTTAACTTTTGATACATCAAAATAATGGAAATAATTTGAATCAAGAACGATACTTTTGAATGGCCGGGAATTAAATAGGCATCTTTTGCCCTTCTCCAAATGTGACTACAGTTTGTTAATTTGACCCATAGTCTGTTATATATATATATATATATATAGTATATATATACTGTATATTGTATTATTTAAAATGATTAGTTACACGATTTATCGCAAAAATATATAAGGTAAGTGAGGGTATTTTGACGAATTGAACATATTACAAGGAAACAGGTTTTTTTTTTTAAGTAAACCTAACGTTTCTTACTAAGTAAAGTTGTTCAACATACCATCCTTTATTTACTCTCAAATTTTGGTTCGTTATACGTTCTAACACAAAAAATTAATTTACTGCGCCAAAACATATAACGAAAAAAGCTATTAGAAAAAAAGTCATTCGAGTTTTACTAAAATTTGAGGGTAAGTAAAAGATAATATTTTGAGCAACTTTACTTAGTAAGTAAAGTCAGGTTTACTTGAAAAAAAACCTGTATCCTTGTAATATGTTTAATTTGTCAAAAAATATCACATTTACCAAATGCTAATGATTGGCACATTTGTCAAAATATCTACAGGGAAGTTAAAAATTGTTGTTACATAGAGATCATAATATAATTTATACAAGACATAAGTTTTTATTTTTCTATATTGTAAAGCAGATTCAAATTTGCATAGTTCAAAAACAGAAAAATAAAACTTTAAGCTTTTGGCAGACTTTTATTAGTAAGAAGTGTTAACTTCGTCAAAATACCCTCATTTACTTTATGTTTGACATATGTTTGGCATTACATATTTTTGCAATACTTTTCTTAGACAAGATATTTCCTGACAATCATATAATTCTAACCAACACTAAGCCAAATCAGGCCAATTTTATGCCAAAGAAATGATTGTCAGGGAAATGTTTTGTCTAAGAAAAATATTGTTGAAAATATGTAATATCAAATATATGTCTTATCGAAAAATGTTATCGGCATTGCGGTGTCAGAGAAATGAATTGGCAGATAAATAATTTTTAGGTAAATGAGCAATAATGGAAACAATAAGTGTTTACTAGTAATTTGGTTTTAATATATTTTATTAAATGTAAATATTCTCCTGACAGTACTCAAATAATTTATAAATTTTATCATTATAGAACAACAAGTAGTGCCGGCTGGGCTACCAACCAATCATCATAGACCATAAAATACAAGTTATTCATACTTCGCATGCAATAATATTGTTGATCTTATACATAATTAGTACATATTTGATTGTGCGATTTTATACCTCAAATTAAAACAAATGTATAAATAAGGAAAATATTTATAACTGTTATGGTAAGTTATAAAAGCACCCACTTAGTTCAAAGAAAAATTTACAATTGATATGCAAAGAGTACATCTTTGCCACTATGTATTAGTCCGGCTAAAAGGGTTGTCAGAGCAGGTTCATACAGTGATGTGCACTATGTTCATTCCGCACATAGACCTTATTTTTGTGAACATAAAAATATACGCATTACGCATGTTGATTTTAAAAATAATGTGCGGCGTGCGCACATTATATTTTAATATTTTACTAATAAAAATATTATATGTGTGCGCTATAATCAGAAATTTTTCGATAGAGAGATTGATACTTTAAAATTTTAATATTCTCTCAAATAGTCTTTAACCAATTAAATTATTGTCCGAAGCATAGCGAGGACTTTATGGTGTTGTTATAGACCAGATTTTGTGTGTGTTTATGTCTGCTTCTATTTTTGGGGACATCTAAAGCCGTGTCCATTCATATGTTTTTAACTATTTAGTTTAAGTTAGAGTAAGTGTTAGTTTGGGTTAGAGTTAGAGTGTTTTTTTATAGTAAAATTGCCTTCCCGACATTTTTTATTAATACTTCGAGATAGGTTTAGACACTTATTTCTTTTCTTTTTTGCGTTTTTTACTTTTTTTGTCTGTTTTTTTTTTTCTTCGGGCTGATCTGTATTGATCAAAATAAATGATTTTATTGGCTCTGTATCACGTGATTGGATACGGCTTTAGACGACCCTATTTTTAGATTTGATGATTATTGTTATCCTTATTATTAGCCAATCGGTTTGTTTTATTTTAAGCTAATAATGGATAACAATTAGTGTTTGTAGTCGACCATTATTTATCGACTTGACTAAGTCGATATTTAAAAATCAGCTTAGCCGGCTAAGTCAAAGTCGATTATTCGAAGTTCTATTTGATTAAACTTTGAAAGCTATCAGAGATTTTCTCAAATTTTTTGTCTCAACCTTGCTCGTATTTTATGTTTGTTGATTTTCTTTTTGGAAATTTTCAGATTCTAGTATAAATTTTTAATAAACACATATAACCTATTGTGTAGTTGACTAAGTTAATTTTTTGAAAAATCGACTGACTAAGCCAGCTAAGCTGATTTTATCGACTAATGCAAAATCAACTACAAACACTAATAACGATAAATCAATCTTGTTTATAAGTTATATTTAAGATTTTGGCTTCGGACACCTAATAGCACCTGTTTCTTAACTATTTACTTTTCTATATACTTTTTTCTGCGTAAATAAGATCATTCAATCATAATTAATCTTTATAACTTGAATAACTTGAGCCTAATTCGAATAAGTTAATCAAATCAAATGATTTGAGTACTTTTTATATGTATGAATTGCAAGTTGATATGAGTTTTCAAGAATTATAATACACCAGAAATAAGATCGAATTAAAATTTCTAAGAACTAATAAGCACACATCAATTTCAAAATTTAGTGCTCAAAGTGCACATTAATTTTAAAATTTAGTGCGCAAAGCACACATAATTTAAATTTCACTGGGTTCATGCACTTTTAAAGTTTTAATTCATTATTTGGCTCATGTATATATAAAACATCATTGTAGAGAGTATAATTGGTGAAAAATTAATTATTTGGGTATTAATCAAAAGTTCCAGGCATCGAAATAAACTTTCAATAAATATATGGCATGTTTATAAATTTTGACTTAATAAATTTTAAATTGACATTAATTGTAAAAAAACGTTTTAAACATTTTGTATTGTTTTAAAAGTTTTTTTTTATACATCGAAATCTGAGATAAACTTTTGCTAAAACTGAAAATATTGCTTCTGAATTAGAGAGACAATTGTCAATGCATATTATTACTTATCATTAAAAAATATTAGCACCAAATTTTACTACGTAATGGTAATAATAAGTGGTACAGTCTACCCTCGTTTATATCAACCATTTGAATTGGTTTAAATTTATGTTGATAGTGATATTAACAACATGTATTATATTTAATCAATTGTTTTACAAACAGACTGGAGCAATTATTAAAGTTGATATATATGAGGGAATTTTAATATATAAAATTTGGCAAATTCATCTTATGGCTTAGGTTGAAATTAATGAGGATAGACTGTATTTGCAAAATAAGCCTGATTGGATTTAAGTTGTATTTGGGAATAAGTAATAATCAGTCTAGTAATAAGCAATAATAAGTACTGATGCATAAGGGTAAAAAAATAATAAGTATTTATTACCTTGCCCATCTCTATTCTGTATGATTTACAGCCGAGTAACTTTTTTTTAAAAAAGATGGTGCTATATAATTTCGAATTTATTAGATATTACGTAAAAAAAAAATAAAAGATAAATATTTAATCGCTTTAATTTTTATCAAAGTTATTATTTTTTGAATGCAAAATTTGCTTATCGGTCAATACAACCTTTCATTCTATATTAGTTTTACATTTATTTGTATTGAAAGTCAATATTGCCACTAATGCAAATCTAATGAATAAGGTTTTAAATAAACCAGAATCCTGTATTTGAGTTTTTAATAAACCTTATATATTTCTTGGAATTTTTTATATTTTAATGAATGACCTTTTAATTGGTCAACTAATTTTACAAAGTCTTCTTCATATAATTACATTTTTGGCGAGGTATTGTTCGTTCATATTTATCAGGTTCAGCAACCTTTGTAAAGTTTAAACAGATTTCTTCTAACGAATATCTTCTACGTTGTTTTGAAGAAATTTTTTATTCAATTTTTTTTTGAATTAATTTATCTATAGCCATAGGCTACATGTAGCCATACTATTTTTTATAGAAAAATTATATAGCCTATTAACATTAGGGTTAGGATTAGAGTTAGGTTAGATTAGGGTTAGGTTAGGGTTAGGGTTAGGGTTAAAGTTAGAGTTTTTTAGAGTAAAATTTCGAGAGAAACATTTTTGCTTAGTTACACAACAGGGTTACCCTAGTAAAATTTTGAGTTATTGTAAAATTATTGAAATGGCTACAGAAAGCGACGGCTACAAATAAATTTTTACTTTTTTTTTTTTTTGAATTTTAGTAATCATAATAATATGGAGGTGTGTCAATAGAAATCAAGCAAATTTTTTATAATAAAATTTTTTTTATAACTTTAATCAAGAATAACTTAGTAACTTGAATTAGTTAGGCTATAATTGGTTAATTGACATGAACTAAATAAATTTCAGTTAACCGGTTGAGGAAATTCTTAATCGGTTGACCTGGTACAACTAGATAGAATTGGGTAATTGATTGGCAGGTCAATATAGTACTATATGAAAACGACATAAAGAGAGAGTAAAGAAAGTAAAGGATCCAAAAAGTTCTGAAAAGAAAGTGAACATAAAAAATAAACAAGGTTAAGACCAAAATTTG